ACTCCTCACAAAAAAAATCTCCTTAAAATCCTTATGAATTTTGTTAATGTTGTCAATATTTTGATGTGGTGCTATAAAAAGAAAAGTTAGTACACATAATCTTAACAGACATTGCAGCCATTCATACCAGTGCTCTACTGATTGAGGAATGATTTGCAGACATATATTTACTGCACAAAATTCAGTAACAGGCTCTTGATTACTTCTAAAGAATTGTATACACTCATTAACACTATTGAGATCCTTATTTAGATAAGCTGAGTATAATTGAATTTCTTTCATCAAACTTTCCCATTGTTCAGATTTTTCTAATAAATGTGATTTGAATTTCTTGACAAAATTATTTGCCTTGGAAATGAGCTTTTTCACTTCTTGTTTGGTATTTGAAAATGTCATAATATTTTTTATTATATTAACTCTGCATAGATTTAGGAAGCACTTTAACACCTCAAGATCTTCTGAATTGGCCTCTTTCAAGATGACAATATTGTTAATGGCCTCTTCAAACTTGCCACATGAGCATAGTCCTCTGGCAACAGATCGATAATGAGTGCTAATAAGATTCTCATCAATCTCTTGTCTGTAACTGTTAAAATAATTTAAACAAGTGTCAGAAATTTTTTTGCTGCATAATATTTATATACTATTCCATAAATTTATAATAACTATGGAAAGTTTATATAAAAAAATTTCCAGATAGCATGCCACACTTTTTTTTCAATAAACCATGATTTGGTAATGGCAGTAATATATATATCCAACATAATTGTTTAGGAAATCATGGCGATGAGCTTACCTTTTCACCAAATCATTTATTTTTTCATGGCTGGTCCTGAATATTGCGATTTTTGTCTTCCTCAAGCATATCTTGTTAATTATTTTAAAGCATTCACTGTGAAGCCACTTTTTTTTAATCTTAATCAACAAAATGCTTATCATATAGATGACTATCTAGCTGCAATTGATCATTCTTTTAAACAAATTAAACAGCTTCTGCAACAAGGGGGTGATACAAAGATAAAGCTTCGATTGATACGGCTCTTGGTTCTCATCAGCCTAAATGAATCCACTTTTGCACAGAAGATTTTTGATCTTTTCAATCATTTAAATAATAAAATCTCTTCTCCTAGGGCTAAGAAATATCTTTCTGAGGATTATATGAAAAGTTAATATTCAAATAATTTTTAAACACGGTTATAAATCTATAAATATATAACATTGCATTGTTTTTCTTAATATTTAGACAGCTCACCTTTTCACCTTATGAACATTTTGAGTGAAGACTTAAGTGACTATGGCCTTGACTCTCTGGTCATTGTCCATTACAATTGTGGAGGCACCTCCAAATTTTCCAACTATGAGAGCCAAGATATTGTGAAACTTACATACTCTTCTATTAAGGAATTTCACTTTGCTCTTCAACAAATTATATCACCAGTAGCTACCAGCTCCATGTCTGTCACTATTACTAATGAAGATGAGGATAGTGAAATTACATCATGGTTTCAACAGACCAATGAATCTGCCACAAAAATCCAAACTTGGATTCGTCATGCTCTTGAACAAAAGAAGTCTCACCAACTTCAAAAG